AGACCCTCTGTCAAAATAAAAAGTAAAAAGGAAAAAGGGTTAGGAGTACAGCCTCGTGGGGTAGCGTTTGCTTACCGCGTTTAAGGTTCAAAGTCCATTTCCCAGTCCTGCAAGGAAAAACCCCAAGCCTCTCTTAGAAGGTGACAGGCTCCCTGAGAAAGCTCTGAGGACAAGAAGGATCCAGATGCAAAGAGCTGGGGGGACCGCAAGTATAAACTCCAGAGTGGGGGGAATGGGTGCAGCGAGGAAGCAGAGCGTTGGAAGAACCTGGGCTGGAGTCTTGTAAGCCACGCCGGAAGTGGTAGGAGGGTCCTCGCTATTCAGAGAGGGGAAAGTTCCAGAGGTGGTGTCAGCTGGAAAATGATGCCTGACTTATGAAGTGAACGTAAAACAGTTTAAAGGCAGCTCAGCCAGACTTAAGTATCTCCCTCTAGCTGTGATGTGAAGCACTGGAGAGCCATCTCTGTGATCCAGTAAGAGAGAAGGTGCTTGGTGCAGGAAGGCTGCAGCGAGAGCGGAGCTGAGACGAGACTTGACAGACTGGGGTGAGAGTGGATACTTCCCTGGGGTCACCTCTAACTGAAGCCCTGGGCGCCCACTTCATACCTCCTGCCGAAATTGTCTAGGACCTAGGGCCCAAGTGGCTTTCTGTGAGGCTGGCGAGGAGCCATCGAGTGCCTGGCTGAATGTCACAGGTGGGGAAGTTTAGGAATTTTTTAGGCTTGTGGGTGGGGTTTCCTGTGGATGAGAACCTGATGTGGGGGGAGGGGAGGAAGGGAGGGACGGAGGCGGAAAGTCCCTCCCCCTCTACCCCGCCGCCCGCCAAGCACATAGTTTTGAAGGCACAGGGCTAGATAAACTCTTCCAGAATAGAGGCCTGATAATAAAAGAACCCTGGACTATGCCCCAGCATTTATAGGTCAGATAGAACAGGAGCAGCAAGGAGACTGAGGGGCCAGCTGAGGTGGGAAGGAATACAAAGAAATGAAGGGTTTCAGCAGCCACCGAGAGGAGCAGTGAGCTATGTCAAACGCTGCTTAGCCACCAACCCCAGAAGTGTTGGGGGGGGGGGGGTCTGCAGGCTGTTTAGCCTGGGAAGTTTTATGGGAGCCAACTGTGTGAGCCATATTCTCCTTCACGGCGACAAAATACCTGACAAAGGCGACCTCAGGAAAGGAGGGTTTGTGTTGGCTCCTAGTTGTAGTGAAATGACGGGATGTCACAGGGGACGTCAGGCAAGCAGGAGTGTGAGGCAGGCATGCAGTCTCATGGCATCCAGTCAGCAAGCAGAGGGATGAACATTAGTGCTCAGCTCACCCCAGCCCCTTACTCCCCCCCCCCCATTTTATTCAGCTTGGGACCTCAGCCCCCGGAACAGTGACACCCACATTTAGGGCGGGTGTTGTCATCTCAATGAATTCCTCACAGACATGTTCAGAGGTTTCTCTCTGGTTGCTCTAAATCCTGTATCCTGTGGTTTAGTTCCTTCTCATTTTGATCACACGAGAGCACAGAAGTCCCCTGACTTTATGCATCAGGTATTTTGCCAAGATGCCATGTATTTTCCAAAGAAGTCATAGTAGAGCCTAACATTTGTTCTCCGTTCCTGATCATTCTATAGACGATTGGTCCTTAAGAAATACTAACTCAGCCAGGCACGGTGGTGGCAGAGGCAGATGAATCTGTGTGAGTTCGAGGCCAGCCTGGTTTATGAAGTGAGTCCAGGACAGCCAAGGCTACACAGAAAAACCCTGTCTCAAAAAACCAAAAAGCAAGCAAACAAACAAAAACCCTAATTTGGGTGTTAGGAAGGAGGGTCTCAGTAAAAGTCAGATTTTGGTATTGTGGCCAGTCTCAGGCTCAGGGTACCTAACTCACCCCTTTGGTAGCATGAGGAGATAGCAACAGGCCACTTCTCAAGGAGGTTGGTCATTAGCATCATCCTGTCACTTCTGCCAGGCAGAGTAAGAGTCACCCAAGGGGAAGTTCAAAACAGCAGCAGCCTGGAGTGGTTGCATCTTCGGCAGCAAGGTGTTGTCATGGAACCTGGCATTTGTGTTTTTCAGAAGCAAAGGTCAAGAGTCTTTCTTATTCCTGTAGTGAAACTTAGGGTTATGATACCAATATGGTTAGCTTTATTGGCAATCATTTTTCAAAGCTCCCAGGCTTCCACATACTTGGTTTGATAAAGCTAGAGTTGCCCTTAGTCATAGGATAACCCTCATGTGGTCTTGGTTACTATGCAGAAGGGTAGACTTCCTCATTAGCTAGCACAGCCATGGCCTGCTTCCTCCTCCTTCTCACGGCTGGGCCAGCCTCAGGCTCCTTCCTACACCCACATTTGCTCAACCCATAGTCTGACTGATGCCTGTGGGTACTGTCTTTCCCCTACCTTTGGTAATTTGGCATTCAAAAGTCTTATTTAGTAATTGTGTAGTATTTCAGGGGCTAGAAATATGGCTCCGTCAGTAAAGTGCTTATTATACAAGCATAAAGACCTGAGGCTCCATCCTCAGAATCTGTGTAGAAAGAAAAAGACAAAACCCAGGGTGTGGTGGCTCCTGCCTCTGATCCAAGCACTGGGGAGGCAGACACAGGAAGATCCTTGGGACTCTCCGGCCAGCTGGTCTAGTCTAATCTGTGAGCTCCAGGTTTAGTGGGAGAACCCTTTCATCATCATCGTCATCATCACCATCATCATCATCATCATCTTCATGAGGGAGCTACCTGACGTCAACCTCTGTGTATGTACATGGCCGTGTGCACACAAACGTGTACACATGATGTGGATCATGCACTGACTTTGGCTTAGTTGAACTAATCATTTATAAATGCTCTAATTGTGATCTGGTTCTTGGGGTGTACGGCTGCTGCCATTGGTGGGCTGACATCATTAGAGCTTCATGGATTCCTACCCCTTAGTCAGTGTCAGAGCCACTCTTTCCTCACCTGATGGGAAGGTTTTGCCTTTTTCTGAATCCCACCTCCCACACCACTCACACACACACACAGGCCTGAGCTCTAGAAAGCACAGAAATGTCTCCAGCAGACTTGGCTCTCCAGATGTGCACTTGACCAAATGCCCTGTGTTTTTGCTGTGTTCTTCATGCAAAAACAAACTTGGGTTCAGAATGTCTTATATAGAGCTCTCTCTCTCTCTCTCTCTCTCTGCATGTGTGTGTGTGTGTAGGATTCTCCATATGTCAGTGTTTTAAGGATACCCTCCCTTTATCTTTCCTTCCCTGTCCTCCTCCTCCTCCTCTTTCTCCTCCTCCTCCTCCTTCTTCTTTCATTTTCCCCCTCCTTTTCTCTTCATTTCTGGCAGAAAGGTTCTAGCTAACCTAGTGCACCAATCTTAGAAATGATAGCAAAAAATGAAAAAAAAAAATTAGAAGCAGAAAACCAGGACCAGCAAGATGGCTTAGTAGGTAAAGGCAATGGCTGTGGAAGCCTGGTTCAACCCCACAGAAAGGTGGAAGGAGAGAATAGGCTCCATTAAACTGTCCTCTGACCTCCCACTCACACCACGGTGTTCGTGTCCCTCCCTTCATGCCGTTCCGAGCTTCTTTTAGCTTGTTAGTCACGGTACATTACACAGATGATGAGACACACAGGATACTGTTTGAATGGTCTCTATAAGAAGATTTCCAGGAATGACCCTCAATTCCAGAAACTTCCCCCTAAATCTGAAACTTGAACAATTTTCCTGTGCAGCAGCACTTACTTGTTAAGACACTCCCTATTTGAACGAACTGTAGGTCTCCAAGACTTAAGCTTGAGATAGATAGCTTCAGAAACAGCTGGAGCCAGGAGCTCTGTCATCATTATTATATTTGTTCCTGGCTCCTCTGACTTTCTAGATTAGCTCCAGTCTCTATGGTGGTGATATTCCCGCTGGGAATGCCAAATGCACAGCCACAGCACACACTTTTAGGCTACAATCTGTGATCTTTGTTGACTCTGTCCCAACAGTAGAAGTTTATTACAATAGTCCCACTGTGAGCATACTGTTTATTACATGCTACTGTTAAATCTATATTGCTATATGTATAATTTAGATTAATTTTGTGTTATACATGTTCTATGCTACATTCACTATGAATAAAATTCATGTTTTTAGTTTTTTAGGGGGTTAAAATAGAAGCATTAATAATTTCTGTATTCCCAGAATGCTTTGCACTGCATCTTTTGAAGACTTAGTTAAAAATAAAAACAGACATGTTCCATCAGTTATGCTCACAGTTATTTGGCCACATCTCATTGGGTGTCTCTGGCCTTAGTGAATCATATGTCCAGCTATGAGTCTGGAGTTGACAAGCCAAGTTGACAAAAATCAGGTTGGGCATGAACAGAGAGCTGTTATTTTAACTTTCTCAAGCTGTTTATATCTTCAAATTGAATATTTATTCTTTGACAATTCCATGCATCTATATAATGTGTTATAATCATATCCATCCTCTACAAATCTCTCTTCTGGAGTCTTGTAATCATTGATATCCATTCATAAATGGTGGATATAACCCTTCTCATAGTTATAGAACAAAGATTGTCTAATTCTTTGCCAATTTAATACTGTTGATCAATACAAATGTCGGGCCTTTCCAACCCCAAGTGTATGGATAGTGTCTCGTCCTGTTTTTATTGGTAGAACACACTCACACATGGAGAAACTCTCACATTTCCACACTCTCATAGTCACCCTTCACTTGCACAGTTTCTTCTAACTCTTTAGCAAGAGGAGACATTGTATATCAAGATGTTAGAAACGGTAGATACAACTTTTAATTCTGCTAATAGGCATTTTGAGTGAGCTGGGTGGTTTCATGTACAGGTAGGCGACAGAGGAGTGGAACCTTCTTTTGGATCTCTAGACAAGAGGGTCACAGGTCAGAGTTCTGTGTCTGTGGAACCAGGTGAAGCATGTGAAGAGGAAGTGGCAGCCTGGAGAGCTGTGAGAAACAGGCTGTTCTGGGGTATTTAAAAACTGTCTTCTGTGGCAGAAGTGCGATGGCGCCTCTTGATTCTGAGGTGAAGGAAGAGTGTCTGAGGGAAGACCTGAAGTTCTACTTCATGAGCCCCTGTGAGAAATACCGAGCCAGACGCCAGGTGCCATGGAAGCTGGGCTTGCAGATTTTGAAGATAGTCATGGTGACCACCCAGGTAACTTGCACAATTACTCTTCCCTTCCCCCCTGAGATCAACTCACATCCAAGTGTCCTGTGCTTGCTGGTAGTCTGCAAGACTCATACTAGTGTTCATGAAACTAAAATTAAATCACTTCCATGGGGGAGAGGGCAGAGGGCAGAGGTAGAGGGCAAAGGGCAGGTTGACATTTAATTCAGATGACCTGGTTTTGATAAGAGATCCTGAGGCCGCGTCTGCACAGGAGCTATAAAATAGATAAAAGAAGTTCTATGTAGAAGGGAGTTTCTAAACCCCTCATCTTTTTACCCGTGTGAGGCGCACAGGTTGTCAAGATGTTCTCAAAAATCCATCATACCTTATTTAATCTGTTTTTTAAAGTCTTCAGGCATAGAAAGTGCTAAATTTTTCTTCTTCTTCTTCTTCTTCTTCTTCTTCTTCTTCTTCTTCTTCTT